ACGTGATCCTGCGCATCACGGCTTCATGTCGGCCCCCTTACTTTCCCTCCTCCTGCGATCCCCGACCCCGACCACTGGCTTTGGACCCACCGAGCATCTGGCAGACGCCGGCATTGCTGTCGACGCCCGCGCTCGTATCCTAAAGCTTCGCGATGCTCCCAAAGCGCGCCATCCCCCTTCGGGGGCTGGTGCATATTGTTTATATGTTTTAGAATATCACGGCAGGCTCGTGAAACAGTGAAACAAGGGACAGCGAGCAGCGATGGTGAAAAAAGGAAGGAAGGGATGGAGGTATTCGACATCAGGTGCATAATAAATGCCTATGCGTGTTCGTGTCGGGGCGCGTGTAAGTGAGGTGGGGTAGCGCGCAAATCCCCGGGGCACGCCTGACTGACCGTGGGGGCAAGGCCCGGGTAAGCCCAAAGTGAGCCCCGAGGGTGTGCCCTGGGGCACGCCCTGGCGGCGGGCTTACGGGCAAGTAAGCCCCGGGGGTAAGCCGAGGGCAAACCATGGGCCATTAGGGGCGGAAAGGGCCACTGGGACATAAGGAGGCCCAAGGCATCAGTGCAGAAGTGCTTGATTATGGTTGCTCGTGTCGATTTAAGTCCATGCGTTTTCCCTGGGGTCGGCCCGAGGCAAGCCTGGATGGCCCCAGGTGTAGGACTGAGGTGGGCCAAAGGGAAAGCCCCAGGGTGATCCTCTAGTAAACCCAAGCGCGGGCCCACAGGGAGACAATGAAGGAACAACTCCGGGAAGGCCCTGGGGAAGCCTGGCGCAAGCCTAAGGGCAAGCTCTGAGGTTGCACACGGAGACTGGCATGGGGGGGGGCCCTTGGGGATGGCCTTCGGAAGCCTCGGGGTAAGCCAAGGGGAATGCCCCAGAGACCCAGGGCCATGGCCCACGGGCATGGCTGCGGCGGGCTGGGCGGTCATTCTTGTGGGCAAGCCAGGGGGCCAGGGGGGCGCGCGCGGACATGGGGGGCGCGGGGGGCGCTGGGGGGCACGGGAGACAGATGGGGCATGGAGGAGGCGATGGGCCACATGGGGGCACAGGGGGCTTGAGAGGGCCAGGTGGCCAGGCGCACAAAGGACGAAAGTCTAGCTCAAGCGAACGCCCCGCCACTCGGGAGGGACGTTGCCGCCGAGCACGGCCAGGTCTCCGCGCTGCCATGGCGGGGCTGCGGGGGGTCCACCGGGGCGGGCGGCTCCAGCGCGCGCTGGGCCCGCTCCTCCACGACGAGGTGATGGAAGCGCGACCGCGCGCTCCACACTGGGTCCCGTCGCGGGTCGGGGGCGCCAGGCGGCAGACGCAGGCGCTGGCCCGGGGCCGCGCGCAGCGCGCCGTGCGCCGAGCGCCGAAGCCGCCGGAAGGGGGGCGGGGCTTCGGGGGGCGGCGCAGGGCCCGGCCGCCGCCGCTTCGCGGCGGACGCGCTGGCTGCCGTCCTGGCCTTCGTCCGCGCGCGCGCGCCGGGCGGCGTGCTCGGCCGCCAGGGCGAGCGCCCTGCCCCGCCGGGCGTAGCCGTCGCCCGCGGGGGCCCCAGGTGGGGCTGGGCCCACCAGCGCGAGGTCGGCCTGGCGCCTCCGCCGCAGCTCCCGCAGCGTCTCGCCCAAGTAGCTGAGCAGGTTGGCGGAGGGCCCGGCCAGGTAGGCCCACTGGTGGACGAGGACCGCCTGGGACACCGCGTCCGCCAGGGACGTGTTCACGCCCCTGTGGGACCCGCCCCGGCGGAGGTTGCGCCAGTGCCCGCCCACTGTTTGGGTGCCCCCCTTCCGCCGCGTCCACTCGCCCAGCTGCCCGTCGGGGCCGCCCCGCTGGCCCGCGCGCGGGCCCGCCTGCGCCGCCGCCGCCGAGTCCTCGGGGTGGGCGCGCACCAGCCGCATGGCCACGAACTCGCGCTCCACGCGGCCAGCAAGCTTCCGGGAGTGGAACACCGAGGTGTGGCACAGGCGCAAGTGGCGGCACTGGGCCGCCCACTCCTCCGAGCGGTCGCGCCAGCCCCGTCTCTCGGCGGCGCACCGGGCCAGGCACTCGCGAAAAGTTTCGCGGCGCCACACGCCTGGCCACAGGATGCTGGCGGTCACCGCGTCCTCCGCGGAAGGGGCCGGCGGGGCGTCGTGCGCCTCCCGCCAGTCCAGGCTCCGGCACGCCCTGGCGCCGTCCTTGTGGACGATCGTCCCGGGGCGGAGCAAGGGCGGGGCGTCCGTGCCGGGGCGGAGGATGAACTCGCGGAGCTCCTCGTGGGACAGGGCGCCGCCGCCGCCCTGACCCTGCCCCGAGGCGAACCGCGGGGGCAGCGCCTGGAGCACCAGCGGGCCCCCGTGGCGCTCGTGGGCCGCGATGTACCTGTGCCACTCGCGGCCCCAGGCGCCGCCGTCACCCAACGCCCACCGCGCGCGGAAGCAGATCTCGTCGATCTCGACCTCCACGCCGGGCCCCCCGAGCTGCACGGTGCCGTTGCGCCAGGACTGGAAATCGGCCACGGTGCACCGGGCGTCCTTGA